TTCACATGAGTTACAGTGGGACTCGAACCTCTCTCCTGTTCACATGAGTTACAGTGGGACTCGAACCTCTCTCCTGTTCACATGAGTTACAGTGGGACGCGAACCTCTCCCCTGTTCACATGAGTTACAGTGGGACTCGAACCTCTCTCCTGTTCACATGAGTTACAGTGGGACTCGAACCTCTCTCCTGTTCACATGAGTTACAGTGGGACTCGAACCTCTCTCCTGTTCACATGAGTTACAGTGGGACTCGAACCTCTCTCCTGTTCACATGAGTTACAGTGGGACTCGAACCTCTCTCCTGTTCACATGAGTTACAGTGGGACTCGAACCTCTCTCCTGTTCACATGAGTTACAGTGGGACTCGAACCTCTCTCCTGTTCACATGAGTTACAGTGGGACTCGAACCTCTCTCCTGTTCACATGAGTTACAGTGGGACTCGAACCTCTCTCCTGTTCACATGAGTTACAGTGGGACTCGAACCTCTCTCCTGCTCCAGCACCACATTCACTAAGAGGTTAAGACATGCTCAGCGGAGAAATGTCAGTGTTGCAAAAACAGAACAGTAGGAATGAGGAGCACGCAGCACAAGAAAATGTAACTATACTGAAATTAAATGGTATAAAATCTCTAGCTTTAGCATAATAAAGAAAAAACAGGAGTGTCCGAGGACAGGGGATTTAAACTGCATGCATAAAAACAACATAAAAACACACACAAAGCACACAATAAAAGCAGTTCAAAGTCGTCGTAAAAGTCCACTTTCCCACATCTTTAATTAATATAATAAATGTAGACTGAATAAACATATGTGCTCTAACCCTGTTCCTACAGTTCTTTACTTTAACTAGCTAAGTTAGGAGTAAAGTCTCTCATTCATAGATTTCCCACACTGACTCTTTCTCTAACCTGAATGTGTGCTAATGCTAATGCTAATGCTAATGCTAATGCTAATGCTAATGCTACTGAAGACGTCTTATCGCTGCATGTTGTTAATACAGTGGTTTGCTAAACTCTAAAGCTCTGACAGAACATCACTTTAACACCTTTACTGTACCTGTGTGTACCTGTGTGTACCTTTACTGTACCTGTGTGTACCTGTGTGTACCTTTACTGTACCTGTGTGTACCTGTGTGTACCTTTACTGTACCTGTGTGTACCTGTGTGTACCTGTGCGCAGGGACCGTGATGACTCCTAACTACGTGCGCTCTCAGGGCATCAGCCTCTCGCCGTGGTGCGACTGCAGCAGCAGCGGAAACAACAAACCAGACTGTGACAAGTTCACACAATTCTTCACCGACAATCGCTGCCTCCGTGAGTCTGACACGCACAGAGACACACAAACACACACAGAGACACACACAGACACACACAGAGACACACAGAGACACACAGAGACACACAGACACACACAGAGACACATACAGACACACACAGAGACACACACAGAGACACACAGAGACACACACAGAGACACACACACACACACACACACACAGAGACACACACACACACACACACACACAGAGACACACACACACAGAGACACACACAGAGACACACACACACACACACACACACAGAGACACACACACACACACACACACACACAGAGACACACACACACACACACACACACACAGAGACACACACACACACACACACACACACATAGACACACACACACACAGAGACACACACAAACACACACTCACGTCTCTCTGGGACTCTTGCAGGTAACGCCATCCAGGCCTTTGGCAACGGGACCGACGTGGGCGTGTGGCAGCCTCAGCCCCCCATCCAGCCCACCACCGTAGACCCAGGGCGGACCCGGACCCGGACCCGGACCAGGACCAGAGACCAGAGCGGCAACTCCCTGGACACTCTGACGGACGTGACCAGGCTGGACCTCGACGCCGACTCCGCCTTCAACACTTGTGGTTTGCAGGTGAGACTTGGCGGGTCTAGACTTTCCCGGTCCTTCTTGGGTCTAGACTTTCCCGGTCCTTCTCGGGTCTAGACTTTCCCGGTCCTTCTTGGGTCTAGACTTTCCCGGTCCTTCTCGGGTCTAGACTTTCCCGGTCCTTCGCGGGTCTAGACTTTCCCGGTCCTTCGCGGGTCTAGAGTTTCTCGGGTCTTTGTGGGTCTAGAGTTTCTCGGGTCTTCGTGGGTCTAAAGTTTCCGGGTCCTTTTGTGTGAGACTCAGAGGATTTGGAGGAGTGCGGCGGTGACACCTTGATAGATCCTCGCTCCTGGGCAGAAAGACGAGCCTCCAGTGAAGACAGAGCCGCTCCAGATCTGTCATCCCCAAGCTAACCGTCGCTATGGTTACCACGGGGCTATGTACTGTAGACGTGTGCGGTTTGCTAAGTTTAAGAACAGGTATTATTCTTCTGTCTGAGAGTCCTTTCTACTGGACAATGTGTTTTTAACATGGTTAGCAATATAGACCAGAGAGAGAGACCAGAGAGAGACCAGAGAGAGACCAGAGAGAGACCAGAGAGAGACCAGAGAGAGACCAGAGAGAGACCAGAGAGAGACCAGAGGGAGACCAGAGGGAGACCAGAGAGAGACCAGAGAGAGACCAGAGAGAGACCAGAGAGAGACCAGAGAGAGACCAGAGAGAGACCAGAGAGAGACCAGAGAGAGACCAGAGAGAGACCAGAGAGAGACCGGAGAGAGAGACCAGAGAGAGAGACCAGAGAGAGACCAGAGAGAGACCATAAGCTCTTTGGAATGTGGTGGAGTTACTTGTATATACCATAAATAATCCATGTTGTTAGTCGCGGCCGAGGGGGGTCCTCCCTTTTCCACTTTTTTCATCAAAATCAGATGTAAAGAAGTGAACGTCCCAGAAACACTTAAATGTGTGAACTAGTGACAGGGCAGTTCCTGTAAGAGCAGGGTCAGGGAAAGGAGTTCATACTCTTCAAAACATACACAATTATGTTTTTGTTATTGTTACACTGCAAAAAGTGATGAAAAAAAGGTAAATAATTGCTGAAATTTGGATAAAACTCATTCTGATCTGGGGCCAAATAAAAACGATAGAAGGGATTTACTTTTCTTATAAATGTTTGTTGACATTTGTGTCCTTGGGCAAGACACTTAACCCCACTTTGCCCAAAGCCCCCACTGAAAGATCAAGGCTATGCTCACACTCAGAGAGCAGCCGTCCTCCTGTGGACTCACCACCTGCAGAGGGTCAGTGAGGGGCTGGTGCTATGAGACTTGGGTGGCATCTCTGACTGCCACCCCCCTGACCCAGAAATGGATTAAAGGGAAGAACATGGATGGATGGATGGAAGTTGACATGACTTTAATGTGACATGAGTATTTTCTGGTTTATTTTTCTGAAAACAAAATGTGGACCAAATATAAAGTTAAATACATTGCAAAATATGTAATTATTTAAAGGTCCACTGTGTAGTTTTTACTCCCATCTGGCATCGAGATCATGTCGTGATCTACGGAAGCCTTCGCAGGACAATAGTCTTTGACACTGGTCCAACTCCTTCTTGTCCCTTACGGACCACTGTATTTCGAGATGGCGGATTGACAAGTAGCCCTCAGCCTCAAGGACATTTATGAGTCACATTCTAAGTCTATGACGATTCTAAAACATGGTGAATATTCTTAAAAAGTCACATTTTTTATTGGTTTAATGCTTTACATGTGTAACTTCTTAACTTCTACTGATGTGTTGGGTTCAAATGTTAGAATCATTTAAATGTGTTAGTTTCCCTGAGAACTTAGATGATGTATAACGTGCCATGGTCGCCCATTACCATAAATTCTACAAGTTACTAATAATAACGTAAATAGGGGCCAGAGAAAATGATCCAAATGTAAAGTTAGTTTTCCTTCTGCTGACTTTCCCGACTGTGCGTCCGACCTTTGATAATCCAAACACTATATTTTTAAATGAGATCATATCACAAACACAGACACTCGATCATAACGGCTTTAATAGAGATTATTTGATTTATCACCGAGAAAACCACGGCCGAGGAGAAAGACCTCCCACAGAACAATTAATCATTCTTCTCTTTGCTGCTTTTACGATTCTTTCCACTTAAAAAACTGTGGCTGTGTTTATTCTGTTCCCAAAGCGCTTTAGGAGGCGCTTTATCACCGCTGTGGTCCATCTCTGCATCTGGAGAAAGCTTTGTTTGGGTTCTGTACAAACGTGAACTTTTAAATGTATTCAACTGTCACCGGCTTCAAGTGCAAACACGAAGCACTTTAAAGTGCTAAAGGTGGGAAAGGACTGAGCTGCAGCGGCAATGTCATCACCAAAGTCCAGACAAAGTCCAGACAAAGTCCAGACAAAGTCGAGGCATAGTTCAGACAAAGTCCAGGTAAAGTCCAGACAAAGTCCAGACAAAGTCCAGTCAAAGTCCAGTCAAAGTCCAGGTAAAGTCCAGACAAAGTCCAGATAAAGTCCAGACAAAGTCCAGGTAAAGTCCAGACAAAGTCCAGGTAAAGTCCAGACAAAGTCCAGGTAAAGTCCAGTCAAAGTCCAGACAAAGTCCAGGCATAGTTCAGACAAAGTCCAGGTAAAGTCCAGACAAAGTCCAGATAAAGTCCAGACAAAGTCCAGGTAAAGTCCAGACAAAGTCCAGGTAAAGTCCAGACAAAGTCCAGGTAAAGTCCAGTCAAAGTCCAGGTAAAGTCCAGGTAAAGTCCAGACAAAGTCCAGACAAAGTCCAGGTAAAGTCCAGACAAAGTCCAGGTAAAGTCCAGACAAAGTCCAGGTAAAGTCCAGACAAAGTCCAGGTAAAGTCCAGACAAAGTCCAGGTAAAGTCCAGACAAAGTCCAGACAAAGTCCAGACAAAGTCCAGACAAAGTCCAGGTAAAGTCCAGGTAAAGTCCAGACAAAGTCCAGGTAAAGTCCAGGTAAAGTCCAGATAAAGTCCAGACAAAGTCCAGTCAAAGTCCAGATCAAGTCCAGGTCAAGTCCAGACAAAGTCCAGACAAAGTCCAGACAAAGTCCAGACAAAGTCCAGGTAAAGTCCAGACAAAGTCCAGGTAAAGTCCAGATCAAGTCCAGGTCAAGTCCAGACAAAGTCCAGACAAAGTCCAGACAAAGTCCAGGCATAGTCCAGGCATAGTCCAGTCCCTCCTAAATGGACAAAATAAATAAATAGTTGATCGACGGTGAGTCCTCTCTGCAGTCATTTAGCTGATGAAGTTCCAAACGCAATTGAAAAGAGTTGTTTTGTAAAAATAAATGGGCGAAACTCTCCGTCTCCAGCTTCTAGTGGTTCCATAAAGTATAACCGTGTGTTGTATAAATACTTGTGCAACTTCATTTTGTATTCGTTTTTTTTGCTTTCACTTCACGGTTGTCTTGTGCAGCCCGTTTCTTAACAAACCCGCCCAGACGAGAGCACATCACCCCGGTCCTCTGGTCCCTGCACTGGTCTCCATGCTTCTTTTAAAACTTATTTCAAAACTGTTTTAAAAGGCCTCCCATCACAGAGCTAACCAGGCCCTGCCCTGCTTAGCTTCGGAGGTCTGACAGGATCTAAAGGGAGCTTAAACATGTGTATTAGTGCATTTGTAAGCAGCTGATCCGAAGGAAAATATTGAAGTCCTTTTGTTTCTCTAACGTTTTCTGTCTGACGTCGCAGGCTCAGAAACTGATGTCGAACCTGTCCACAGACTCCTCCCTCTGCGCGGTGAGTCTCGAACCCATACTATACTGTATTCATCTGTGCGTGTTGCTAATGCTTCCTCTTCTGTCGTTAGCACCACCCTCTGGTAGAACCCAGCTCCAACGCCGTCGCTCACAGCCGCTCGCCCCCTCGTCCGGACTCACCTCCAGCCGCCCTCCTCCTCTTCCTCCTTTTGTCTTTGTCTTCATCGCTGACGCTTTATGAACGACTTCCAACCATGTGAATTTCGCTTTCCCCCCAGAACTTAATGAAATGATTTTATCTCCGCTCCCGTCTGGAGTCAGGACAATGATTTCCAGACTGTATGAAAAAAAATTAGAAGCAAAGAGAGCGAGAGAGAGAGAGAGAGAGGTTTCCGTCGGACTCAATGGACGAAACTTTGCAAATGAAATTGTTGGAGGCTGGACTTTGCTGTGATCAATACTGTGTAGCTCTATCTTGGTTCTGGATATCGTGACCTTCAAACGGGTGGTGCCGTGTGAACTATTCTCTGCTTCTTGTGCTGTGTGTGCACCACTTTTTATACAAAAAAACCCAAAAGGCAACACAAAAATACAGCTCAGTAGATCATGTTGGGTTCCTGTTTGGAAGAGTCCACTCCTGGACACGGCGGGGGAGGTGTAGGAGGAAGACCACGGCTCATAATAATAGAACTAGTTTGTTTCAATTGTCTAGGGCCTTTCAGTGTTGTATTTGTGTGGAAATGACCTCAGACTTGGATCATGAAGTAAATTAATCTCACCAGACCAAGATTACTGCTTTTCCGAGTATGTTCTGCTGCACCAGGGGTCTCCAACCTGTGGCTCGGGAGCTACCGGTAGCTCGCCGGCCCCTTTCAGGTAGCTCGCTGTAGCGTTTACGCTACTGGGACAGCCTCTCACCAGGACAGGAAACAAACAGAGGTCCAAATGTTGCAGATTTGCACAAAAGATGTCTTGTTTATTTGGACAGCATCCCCCCAGGCACACAACAGGAACACACCAAGCCAAATGAAAGCATCCCCTTTTATACAGTGGCCCAAACTAAGACCTCCACCCACCCAGGGACACAACCATGTAGGCCTGTACTATTTACAATATTTATGACTACTTACATTTGTAATGTATGCAGATATGTTATAATAATAATAATTTATAATAATATACAATTAGTGGTGGTGTTATTTCACGGGAGCGGTGTGTGAATAATGTTTAAATAATGTTTAGTCCAAATGAAACACCCCTCTCTTGGAGGATCATGGTGGAGCCCAGCTGATTGCTCAGTTGGGTGCACCTGGCATGCTCTGGGATGGGCGCGCCTCCAGCCCAGCACCTCCACCAATCACCTTCCAAGAGGGGAAAAGGGAAAGTTAGGGACAGGGAATATAAACAAATCTAAATATTTCAAAATAAAACAGGAAGGATACACCTGTGGGTGAGGAGTGGGAACTACTCCTTCACACTCGCCAAAGGATTTAGTATTTAACAAATGATCTTGAATGAATACATTTTGAGTCATTACATAGAAGTATAAATATTGTGTTCTACAGTACCATGGTATGTGTAATTATTAGATAGATTGAAAAAGGTTGGAGACCCCTGTGCTGAGACCCCTGTGCTGAGACCCCTGTGCTGCACCGACGTCACACATCACGATGTTCTGTGTTTAACAAATCTCCTTTAATGATGAACCAGTGGAGACTTTAATAAGGAGCAGAAATAGTTAAAACTAGGAGTTCTTTTTAACGGTTTTGTGTTTTTACTATTCCACTGCTTCCACCAAATGTCTCCGAGGTTTTTGCAGATCTTTCCAGCGTCTGTGCGAGAATAAGACGATCACTTTATGAGTATAGTTCTTGGCGGGAAGCTACGTTGAAGAAAGCATCACAAAAAACAAAAATGAAACTGTAATGTGGTAAAAACTTAATAAATAAATGTCTAAACAAACTGTCAAAGGTCAAAGTAACAAAAGTGTGGATTCCACGAGACTGGACTTTCTGCTGCTGCTGAAGTCCAGCTTTTCTGTTCTCTTTACTCTTACAGTCGTCTTGGAGTGAGACCACAGTGAGACCGCAGTGAGACCACAGTGAGACCACAGTGGGTCCACAGTGAGACCGCAGTGAGACCACAGTGAGACCACAGTGAGACCGCAGTGAGACCGCAGTGAGACCGCAGTGAGACCACAGTGGGTCCACAGTGAGACCGCAGTGAGTCCACAGTCAGACCGCAGTGAGACCACAGTGAGTCCACAGTGAGACCACAGTGAGACCACAGTGAGTCCACAGTGAGACCACAGTGAGTCCACAGTGAGACCACAGTGAGACCACAATGAGCCCACAGTGAGACCACAGTGAGCCCACAGTGAGTCCACAGTGAGTCCACAGTGAGTCCACAGTGAGACCACAGTGAGACCACAGTGAGACCACAGTGAGCCCACAGTGAGTCCACAGTGAGTCCACAGTGAGTCCACAGTGAGACCACAGTGAGACCACAGTGAGACCACAGTGAGACCACAGTGAGACCACAGTGAGACCGCAGTGAGACCGCAGTGAGACCGCAGTTAGACCGCAGTGAGACCACAGTGGGTCCACAGTGAGACCGCAGTGAGTCCACAGTCAGACCGCAGTGAGACCACAGTGAGTCCACAGTGAGACCACAGTGAGACCACAGTGAGTCCACAGTGAGACCACAGTGAGTCCACAGTGAGACCACAGTGAGACCACAATGAGCCCACAGTGAGACCACAGTGAGCCCACAGTGAGTCCACAGTGAGTCCACAGTGAGTCCACAGTGAGACCACAGTGAGACCACAGTGAGACCACAGTGAGTCCACATTGAGACCACAGTGAGCCCACAGTGAGTCCACAGTGAGACCGCAGTGAGTCCACAGTGAGTCCACAGTGAGACCACAGTGAGACCACAGTGAGACCACAGTGAGACCGCAGTGAGTCCACAGTGAGACCACAGTGAGTCCACAGTGAGACCACAGTTAGACCACAGTGAGGCCACAGTTAGACCACAGTGAGACCACAGTGAGCCCACAGTGAGTCCACAGTGAGTCCACAGTGAGTCCACAGTGAGACCACAGTGAGACCACAGTGAGACCACAGTGAGACCACAGTGAGCCCACAGTGAGTCCACAGTGAGACCACAGTGAGTCCACAGTGAGTCCACAGTGAGACCACAGTGAGACCACAGTGAGTCCACAGTGAGACCACAGTGAGCCCACAGTGAGCCCACAGTGAGTCCACAGTGAGTCCACATTGAGACCACAGTGAGCCCACAGTGAGTCCACAGTGAGACCGCAGTGAGTCCACAGTGAGTCCACAGTGAGACCACAGTGAGTCCACAGTGAGACCACAGTGAGACCACAATGAGCCCACAGTGAGACCACAGTGAGCCCACAGTGAGTCCACAGTGAGTCCACATTGAGACCACATTGAGACCACAGTGAGCCCACAGTGAGTCCACATTGAGACCACAGTGAGCCCACAGTGAGACCACAGTGAGACCGCAGTGAGTCCACAGTGAGACCACAGTGAGACCACAATGAGCCCACAGTGAGACCACAGTGAGCCCACAGTGAGCCCACAGTGAGTCCACAGTGGGTCCACAGTGGGTCCACAGTGAGACCACAGTGAGACCACAATGAGCCCACAGTGAGACCACAGTGAGTCCACAGTGAGCCCACAGTGAGTCCACAGTGAGTCCACATTGAGACCACAGTGAGCCCACAGTGAGTCCACATTGAGACCACAGTGAGCCCACAGTGAGACCACAGTGAGACCGCAGTGAGTCCACAGTGAGACCACAGTGAGTCCACAGTGAGACCACAGTTAGACCACAGTGAGACCACAGTTAGACCACAGTGAGACCACAGTGAGACCACAGTGAGACCACAGTGAGTCCACAGTGAGACCACAGTGAGACCACAGTGAGACCACAGTGAGACCACAGTGAGACCACAGTGAGCCCACAGTGAGTCCACAGTGAGACCACAGTGAGACCACAGTGAGACCACAGTGAGACCACAGTGAGCCCACAGTGAGTCCACAGTGAGACCACAGTGAGACCACAGTGAGACCACAGTGAGTCCACATTGAGACCACAGTGAGACCGCAGTGAGACTCAGTGAGTCCACATTGAGACCACAGTGAGACCACAGTGAGACCGCAGTGAGACCACAGTGAGACCACAGTGAGACCACAGTGAGACCACAGTGAGACCGCAGTGAGACCACAGTGAGACCACAGTGAGACCACAGTGAGACCACAGTGAGACCGCAGTGAGACCACAGTGAGACCACAGTGAGACCACAGTGAGACCACAGTGAGCCCACAGTGAGCGGGACGTGACCCATGACTATACATGTTAACAAAGATGGCCGCCCTGCGTGTTTTAAAGCTACGGTACCTAACTTCTTTACATGTTGCTTGTCCAAATAGAGAGTCTTGTAAAAGTAACATGTTAAGAACGAGAGAGCTGATTGGCCGAGCTGACGGTGGTCCATTTGATTTCACTTTTCTGTCTGAATAATCTGATTTACAGATGACAGAGCCCAAACATACACATACAGACTATTATTAAAGTAAGGAACTAGTGCGATGGATTCGTTTGTGTTAAAAGTCAGGTACCCCAGCTTTAGGCCATGACACAGATTTTATAGTTTTAGTTTCATTCTTTGTAGGAAACTCGACAAAGCACTGGTTTCTCTCGGATAAAAAAATGGAGTCCGCGAACGCCAGTGACTCCAGAAGATTGTCTCCATGTTGTGTGTACATACAGCTGCTAGCAAGGGAGCTAGCATAGAGCTAATATAGAGCTAACAGAGCTAACAGAGCTAACCTGCAGCTGCTGTGATGAGTTTGTATCATGTTGTGTGTGTTTTTAGCGTCTGAAGATCCTCGAGCTTTGGCCCAAACTCTGGAAGACTCTGATGATGTCACATGACGCCACATTTAATAAATGGAAACAAAAGAGTGTTGTTGAAATGTGTGCCTCGCACCGAGAGAAAGGGCTTTAATCACAACTTTACAAATGTGTTGATTCACCAACAGCAGATCAGAGAATCAAAGTGTCCGAACACAGGAAGTGAAATGAAATAATAAAAACAAAGACATAGGTTCAAGGTTTATTATCCACAAAAAGGACAGTTTGTTTGAAGCAGCAGAAAGACTCTGCACAAGGAAAAAATGTATAATTAATATGGTCTGTTTAAAATACTAACGGCCACAGGCTTAAAGGAGACCAGACCAAGGACCATAAATGTCCTGGACCGTCCTGCTTCGAAGGAACAGCTCAGAAAAGACAGAAGGATCCGCTCCCATGGACGGAAAAGCTGCAGATCCAGGACTCAGACTGTACAACGAGGACTGAGGCCACTCCCAGACAGGGAGGGGTTTGAAGTCCACAGGTCCAGACCGGAGGAGACCACACAGAGGCCGGGTCCAGGGGTCTCATCATCACACCATCAAACACACCGTGGGACACTGGGTGAAAAGTAGTAAATACCATCAGTACCAGTACCAGTACCATCAGTACCAGCAGTATCAGTACCAGCAGTACCAGTACCAGCAGTACCAGTACCAGCAGTACCAGTACCTTTGACCCCACACGGGACTCAAACTCATGACACAGATCACTGTATGTTATGGTTCACAGGATGACATTTCTTTTCATTTTCATCCAAACAAAATCTTTATTTTGAGAATATACATTTCTAATCCTGTTTCTATAAATGCTTTGCTCATTTACAGAATGGAACAATAATAAAATAATTATATATTTATTCATCTTTCAGCAGAAACAGCAGTAGATTTATTCACTAATACATTTAACTCAGTGATATGTTCATTAAAACATATTTAAAAACAGTCCATTTGGTTCATTTGGTCAGAGCCACATCAGCCGCAGTGGCTCAGTGTGTAGAGCCTTTGAGCCAGAGGGTCGACAGTGGCTCAGTGTGTAGAGCCTTTGAGCCAGAGGGTCGACAGTGGCTCAGTGTGTAGAGCCTTTGAGCCAGAAGGTCGACAGTGGCTCAGTGTGTAGAGCCTTTGAGCCAGAGGGTCGACAGTGGCTCAGTGTGTAGAGCCTTTGAGCCAGAGGGTCGACAGTGGCTCAGTGTGTAGAGCCTTTGAGCCAGAAGGTCGACAGTGGCTCAGTGTGTAGAGCCTTTGAGCCAGAGGGTCGACAGTGGCTCAGTGTGTAGAGCCTTTGAGCCAGAGGGTCGACAGTGGCTCAGTGTGTAGAGCCTTTGAGCCAGAAGGTCGACAGTGGCTCAGTGTGTGTAGAGCCTTTGAGCCGAGCCAGAGGGTCGACAGTGGCTCAGTGTGTAGAACCTTTGAGCCACAGGGTCGACAGTGGCTCAGTGTGTAGAGCCTTTGAGCCACAGGGTCGACAGTGGCTCAGTGTGTAGAGCCTTTGAGTCCACAGGGTCGACAGTGGCTCAGTGTGTAGAGCCTTTGAGCCACAGGGTCGACAGTGGCTCAGTGTGTAGAGCCTTTGAGCCACAGGGTCGACAGTGGCTCAGTGTGTAGAGCCTTTGAGCCAGAGGGTCGACAGTGGCTCAGTGTGTAGAGCCTTTGAGCCAGAAGGTCGACAGTGGCTCAGTGTGTAGAGCCTTTGAGCCAGAGGGTCGACAGTGGCTCAGTGTGTAGAGCCTTTGAGCCAGAGGGTCGACAGTGGCTCAGTGTGTAGAGCCTTTGAGCCAGAAGGTCGACAGTGGCTCAGTGTGTAGAGCCTTTGAGCCAGAGGGTCGACAGTGGCTCAGTGTGTAGAGCCTTTGAGCCAGAGGGTCGACAGTGGCTCAGTGTGTAGAGCCTTTGAGCCAGAAGGTCGACAGTGGCTCAGTGTGTAGAGCCTTTGAGCCAGAAGGTCGACAGTGGCTCAGTGTGTAGAGCCTTTGAGCCAGAGGTCGACAGTGGCTCAGTGTGTAGAGCCTTTGAGCCAGAGGGTCGACAGTGGCTCAGTGTGTAGAGCCTTTGAGCCAGAGGGTCGACAGTGGCTCAGTGTGTAGAGCCTTTGAGCCAGAGGGTCGACAGTGGCTCAGTGTGTAGAGCCTTTGAGCCAGGGGTCGACAGTGGCTCAGTGTGTAGAGCCTTTGAGCCAGAAGGGTCGACAGTGGCTCAGTGTGTAGAGCCTTTGAGCCAGAGGGTCGACAGTGGCTCAGTGTGTAGGAGCCTTTGAGCCAGAGGGTCGACAGTGGCTCAGTGTGTAGAGCCTTTGAGCCAGAGGGTCGACAGTGGCTCAGTGTGTAGAGCCTTTGAGCCACAGGGTCGACAGTGGCTCAGTGTGTAGAACCTTTGAGCCAGAGTGTCGACAGTGGCTCAGTGTGTAGAGCCTTTGAGCCAGAGGGTCGACAGTGGCTCAGTGTGTAGAACCTTTGAGCCAGAGTGTCGACAGTGGCTCAGTGTGTAGAGCCTTTGAGCCAGAGGGTCGACAGTGGCTCAGTGTGTAGAGCCTTTGAGCCAGAGGGTCGACAGTGGCTCAGTGTGTAGAGCCTTTGAGCCAGAGGGTCGACAGTGGCTCAGTGTGTAGAGCCTTTGAGCCAGAGGGTCGACAGTGGCTCAGTGTGTAGAACCTTTGAGCCACAGGGTCGACAGTGGCTCAGTGTGTAGAGCCTTTGAGCCAGAAGGTCGTGGGTTCGAGCCCAACCTTCATCATCGACTGGTGACTCACTGTCTGCTGTTGTTGTGTCCTTAGGCAAGACACCCCCATTGCCTAGAATGAGTCTGGTGTGTGTGTGAAGGGTTGGTGGTGGTGAGAGGGGCCGATGGCACAGACTGGTTGTCTCGCTTCTGTCAGTGTGCCCCAGGGCAGCTGTGGCTACAGTAGTTTATCACCACCGTGTTTGGAGAGAGAGGATCATGAAGTGAAGAGACTTTGAGTGTCCTGAAAAGCGCTTTATAAAACCAATACATTATTATTATTAGAAGTGCATCAGCAGGGCCGCATCAGCAGGGCCGCATCAGCAGGGCCGCATCAGCAGGGCCGCATCAGCAGGGCCGCATCAGCAGGGCCGCATCAGCAGGGCCGCATCAGCAGGGCCGCATCAGCAGAAGTGCATTAACATAGCTACATTAGCATAGCTACATTAGCATAGCTACATTTGGATAGCTACATTAGCACTCCCATCACATCTGTCCCACGGAGGAGAGGCTCCAGACAAGGACACAGAGGACAGACCCGGGTGGACCAGAATACGTCCTCTGCTTTTGGCCCGTGATGGAGTGTCTGACCTGGAGAGAGCGAGACAGATTTATGTGATGAATGTGAGGTGTCAGAGGAGCAGAGACGTCGCCGTGTAATGCATGAAATGAAAATGACAAGTGTCTGTTCCCAGGCCGCGCTAAAGAGGCTGCACTTTCTGTTCTCTGCAATCAGGAGAAAAACTGTCAAAATGCAAAGAAATTTTCAAATCCCACACAGGTGTCATTCACAGACTCAGGAGAGCAGAGTCGAACAAAAATCACTAAAATAATCTCCAGTTTTCCAATCAGTCTGCGTCATGAGTGTGATTGCTAACACGTAGCACCATGGATTAGCATAAAGCAGACACAACAAAGAGGGAAAGAAAAACACATCAAATTCAAACAAACAGCATCGTGTCTCGGAGGAGTTCACAAGATTTACGATTGAGCCAGACACAGATGAAAGAATCAAAAACAGACCTGGGGTGGTTTTTAGATCCATCCACGCTCATGCCAGGAACTCCCGGCACAAACGTGTAGCTCCGCCCCTTCTGTCTAAAAGCTCCAGTCTCTGCCTTTAAAACATAAGTATTGTCCATAAATTAATGTTGGCAATTTCTCAGGGTGTGTTTGCAGCTGGTAATTCTCAAATGTGTAAAAAATATATAAATCGACACCTCCCTCTGGTGGTAGCATAGGGATAAGGCGGGTTGATGGTAAGGCAAGTTTTGACCTGGATGTGAACACTGTCAGAGTAGAAGCCTGTCTCACATTTTCAAGAAGACGGTCCCAGACTTTAGCTGCATCTGAACCGCTGCCTCCCCATGTTTAGTCCTGACTCTGGCACCATCAGCTGCATCCTTTATTTCCTGCTTTACTGTTATCGTTTCACAGTAACACGTCTCACTCCTCGTCTGACTCTGATGCACTCGGCAGCAGCGCAATATCAAACATTAAAAAAACATCTTTCATTGTGGAGGAAAGGCCGTGTCTCCCTCAGCACCACGGACAGCTCCCTCGCTCCGCCGCCGATCCCCGTCTGCCTCCAGATGCTCCCCATCGCTGTAATGACCACAGAAGTTAGATTCTCTCATGCTAATTATGTACGTCCGTTCGTTTGGACCGACACAGACCGACACAGACCGGAGCCAGATGCACATCCATATTCTCACTGAACTCCTGCCAGAACAACACATCAGGCTGGATTAGTTACCTGTGGATCACTTACCTGTGTTTGCTTCCACTGCCAAGAGCGTGTTGTGGAACGGCAGCTCCAGCTCCTGCTGTCACCGCGCTTCAAATGGGATTAGAGCAAACAGGTTGTGGGTTTGAACCTGGCCACGAACAAGATTTTTCTGGAGACTCATTACCTAAATATCTCCATGAGGAAAAGTAGGAAGTGAAAGAAAGGCATATGGCCTGGTATATGCATGTTATTATCTGTTATTATCTGTTATATGTATGTTATGAGTCCTGCTGGGACTCTTAGGAGCACAGGGACTGGACTCCTGCTGGGACTCTGAGGAGCACAGGGACTGGACTCCTGCTGGGACTCTTAGGAGCACAGGGACTGGCCTCCTGCTGGGACTCTGAGGAGCACAGGGACTGGACTCCTGCTGGGACTCTGAGGAGCACAGGGACTGGCCTCCTGCTGGGACTCTGAGGAGCACAGGGACTGGCCTCCTACTGGGACTGAGGAGCACAGGGACTGGCCTCCTGCTGGGACTCTGAGGAGCACAGGGACTGGCCTCCTGCTGGGACTGAGGAGCACAGGGACTGGCCTCCTGCTGGGACTGAGGAGCACAGGGACTGGACTCCTGCTGGGACTCTGAGGAGCACAGGGACTGGACTCCTGCTGGGACTCTGAGGAGCACAGGGACTGGCCTCCTGCTGGGACTGAGGAGCACAGGGACTGGCCTCCTGCTGGGACTGAGGAGCACAGGGACTGGCCTCCTGCTGGGACTGAGGAGCACAGGGACTGGCCTCCTGCTGGGACTCTGAGGAGCACAGGGACTGGACTCCTGCTGGGACTCTGAGGAGCACAGGGACTGGCCTCCTGCTGGGACTCTGAGGAGCACAGGGACTGGCCTCCTGCTGGGACTCTGAGGAGCACAGGGACTGGCCTCCTGCTGGGACTCTGAGGAGCACAGGGACTGGTCTCCTGCTGGGACTCTGAGGAGCACAGGGACTGGCCTCCTGCTGGGACTCTGAGGAGCACAGGGACTGGTCTCCTGCTGGGACTCTGAGGAGCACAGGGACTGGTCTCCTGCTGGGACTCTGAGGAGCACAGGGACTGGCCTCCTGCTGGGACACAAACCTCCAAACGTTTCCATTTGCATCCCGTATCCACGTTTCAGTCTCGCCCGTAGCTCTCACAGATGTCCATCATTACATCAGGATTAATGTTGCTGCACGACTGTTCCACACAATTATGATACGAGGAGAGCTAAGCAAGCGTGATATTAGTCCACGGAAGTCAAGGGGAGGGGGGAGAGAGGGGAGAGGGGGGGGGAGGTTCATAACCACTCTGTTATGAACATGTGATTCATAACAGAGTGGTTTATGGAGGACGGAGAGAGGGTTTGACGCAGAGTTTTAATGAACTTTTGACTCTTGACAATTAAAGCAAAGAGTATTTCCTATCGTCAACTATTTTGATAATAACCATATTTACTATTCCACTAAAACTTCATCAACTCTGCTCTGTGCTCTGTGGCATGTGTGAAGGGAGGAAGGGGGGGGGGGGAGACTGGAAAGAAATGGACTGATTCTCAATGTGTCCAAGACCAAGTCCAAGACCAAGTCCAAGAACAAGGAGATGATCATCAGCTTCACAGGACCTTCAGGACCGCAGACCGGACTGGGAGTCCACCTGGACCGCAGACCAGACTGGGAGTCCACCTGGACCGCAGACCGGATTGGGAGTCCACCTAGACCACAGACCAGACTGGGAGTCCACCTAGACCACAGACCAGACTGGGAGTCCACCTGGACCACAGACCAGACTGGGAGTCCACCTGGACCACAGACTGGACTGGGAGTCCACCTGGACCGCAGACCGGATTGGGAGTCCACCTAAACCGCAGACCGGACTGGGAGTCCACCTGGACCGCAGACCGGACTGGGAGTCCACCTGGACCACAGACCAGACTGGGAGTCCACCTAGACCACAGACCAGACTGGGAGTCCACCTAGACCACAGACCAGACTGGGAGTCCACCTAGACCACAGACCAGACTGGGAGTCCACCTAGACCACAGACCAGACTGGGAGTCCACCTAGACCACAGACTGGACTGGTCAGCTCAGGCCAATGCCATCTACAAGAAAGAGCAGACTTTTCTTTCTGAGTAAACTGAGGTCCTTTGATGTGAGCAGTCAGATGTTGCACATATGTTACATATGTCTGTAGCTAGTGCCGTGTTCTTCAGGGTTGTGTGTTGGGGGCGGTCTGTAGCTAGTGCCGTGTTCTTCAGGGTTGCGTGTTGGGGGCGGTCTGTAGCTAGTGCCGTGTTCTTCAGGGTTGCGTGTTGGGGGCAGTCTGTAGCTAGTGCCGTGTTCTTCAGGGTTGCGTGTTGGGGGCAGTCTGACCTCAGAGACAGTAACCGGTTCAGGCTGATCAGGAAGTGTGTCTCTGTGATGGGGAGAAGTGTGGACTCTGTGGGAGCTGTGCTGGAGAGAAGGGGCTCTAATGCAGTGCATCCTGGGTAACTCCAGACTCCCTCTGCATGACACTATGGCCGCTCAGAGGAGTCATCGAAGCAACAGGCTCCTATCACTACACTGCCGAACGGAAAACCTTTCAAGAGATCCTTTGTTCCTTCAGCTGTCAGACTGTACAACAAACCTGGATGAGTCTTCTGCTGCTGGACACCTGCCTTTCTCCTACGGGGATCAACAAAGTATCCATCTATCTGACAACAGCCCTAATGAAAACAAGTTATGTATATTTCTCTGCACTGTGTCGGCTCTCTCTGCTGTTCACATAAACGCACCAGGAAGCAGGAATGTGTTTAAATAACTTAAAGCAGCAGCTTATAGTCTGGTAGTATTCAACTCTAACATGACAGAGGTTTGGAGAAGACCCAGAGAGCTTAGAAGTAGAAGTAAAAATATCACTGGTGTTTAATCTGCCTTAAAATATGTCAGACTTTGTTAATGAGCTTCAATTATAGATCAGGAAATGTCTGATGTTTGTTTTCGTTCAACTGTAAATTTAACTGAATCATTTGTGATAGAAAAATAGTTTAGACTTATAATTAAATTGTACATGTGCATAAATAATATGTTCCTGTGTGAAGCGTCTGAAGAAGTTTCATGTGTTTTTATGAATCAGGTTTTTCTTTTTCTCCTGAAGTCAAATCCTCTCAGAGTGTTTTAGACGCTGCCACAGACGCACATCCAGCCAGCTGTGAACAAAACGGCAGAACACATTGTGTGTGTCCAGAGATGACATATGTGTGTTGTTGTGTAGCAGTGAAACAGATGTGTGTTGTTGTGTAGCAGTGAAACAGATGTGTGTTGTTGTGTAGCAGTATGACAGATGTGTGTTGTTGTGTAGCAGTATGACAGATGTGTGTTGTTGTGTAGCAGTATGACAGATGTGTGTTGTTGTGTAGCAGTCTGACAGATCTGACCCGCTCTGATCCTTCGACATGAAGAATAACTGCTTTAACACTTTGTAGAAAAGAACCATGTTTTATCATCTGCAAAAATCAGAGATTTATAGTTTTATGACAAGTCGGAAAATCTACGGTTAGAGCGTCTTAATTATATCAAAATAACTCAGAAGTCGACTAAGATTAACTTATGTTTGTCATTTTATCTATTCATAGACTAGCAAGATGGCGCCGTGTCAGGGCGCCGCAGTGAACGCTCTGCGCACAATCTGTGTTTTGTTGTTTTTCGTCTGGGATTCACTTGCCACAGTGAAATATGATCGGCAAACACTTCTGCACATTCGGGACCTTGCGTGTGACGGGTCACTCGTTTTACCTGAACTGAGGTGCACAAACTTCCTCGAGTGTCCCACTCGAGAGGCCCGTGGAGCACGGCAGGCGGGCCGCGGCGGTGGCCGCCAACAGAGCGAGGGGACTGGGCGTCTCCGGCGTTCTCTCCGCGGTGTGGAGCTGGGCACCTCGAGTCGGTGAAGGAGGCGTAGACACCGGGGAAGGCGAGGCGGTCTGCTCGTTCGTAGCCGCTCCTCCAGGACCCCTTTGCCCTCCATCTACCTGGCCAACGTCCAGTCTCTGCCCAACAAGACGGACGAGCTCCTGTGTCGGGTCCAGAGCCAGCGCGAGGCCCGGGACTGCGCTGTGTTCTGCCTCAGCGAGACGTGGCTCCACTCGAACGTCCCGGACTCTGCTGTTCAGCCCCCGGGATTCACCGCTCACCGCTCGGACAGAGTGAAGGAGACCACGGGCAAGGCCAGAGGCGGAGGTGTGTGCTTTTTGATTAATCAGCGCTGGTGCACGGACACTCGAGTCGTGAACCAAACATGTACTGCCAATCTGGAATGCCTGGTCTTGAGCTGCCGCCCTCTTTATCTTCCGCGGGAGTTTTCTGTGATATTTTTATGTGCTGTTTAAATTCACCCACGAGCGGATTACAAAGTAGCCCTACAGGATCTGAGCGAGATCCTTCACAAACATGAGTTTGCTCATCCTAACGCAGTCATCATTGTTGCTGGGGATTTTAACAAATGTAATTTAAAGACTGTACTCCTGAACTTTTACCAACACGTGACTCAAGCTACAAGAGGAGCACATGTTCTGGATCACTGCTACAGTAACGTGAAGGGAGCTTACAGGTCCAGTCTCAGACCTCCTTTTGGAAAGTCTGACCACTCCTCTGTTCTCCTTCTTCCTTCGTATACTCAGAGGAGCAGGGAACATAAACCAACCTCTCGCACTGTGCAGTGTTGGTCTGAGGAGGCTAGCATGAAGCTACAAGGTTGTTTTGATGCTACGGACTGGTCTGTGTTTCAGTCAGAGGACGTCAATGAATTCTGTGACGCTGTGTCTGGATACATACGCTTCTGTATTGACTGCTGTGTCCCACAGAAGGTCATTAAAGAACATTTTAGTCAAAACCCTTGGATGAACGCGGAAGTGAAACTGAAACTTCATGAGCGTGCGTTGGTGTTTCAATCAATCAATCAATCAATCCTTTATTATCTCACACAGATGGAGAAATTCAGTTTGATGAATAAACATCAAGGCCGGCCGCGTACTCTAATTTTCCGCGCTCCTTATGACAGTTATTCAACAGCAGAGAGCAAAACAGACACATATTTCAACAAACATGGGAGAGACAATGTTACACATACAATGTGGCTATGTCCCACAAGCTTTTAAAACCGCGGTAATCAAACCCCTTCTGAAGAAAACAAACCTGGACCCAGAAATACTTACAAACTACAGACCGATCTCAAACCTCACTTTTATATCTAAAATCCTGGAAAAACTTATAGCTGAGCAGCTCCGCTGCCACCTGCAGGAAAATGATATGTTTGAAGTCTTTCAATCAGGATTCAGAGCTCATCATAGACTGAAACGGCACTAGTCAAAGTCACAAATGACTTACTACTAGCTGCTGATAATGGACAAGTGTCAGTGCTGGTCCTACTGGACCTTAGTGCTGCATTTGACACAATAGACCACAGCATTCTACTGCAGAGGCTAGAATGTGATATAGGTCTTAGAGGAACAGCCCTTGGCTGGTTTAAATCCTATTTATCAGATCGATATCACTTCGTCAATGTGAATCAGGACTCGTCGCCTTATTCTGGAGTGGAATTCGGTGTGCCGCAGGGTTCGGTACTCGGACCAATTCTTTTTACTCTCTACATGCTGCCATTGGGAAACATTATTAAAAAGCATGGAATTAATTTCCACTGCTGCAGATGACACACAGCTTTATCTGTCGATGAAGCCTAACCAGACAGATCAGCTGGAAAAGCTCAGTGCCTGCATAAAGGACCTTAAAATGTGGATGACTCTTAACTTCCTACTTCTCAACCCGGAGAAGACAGAAGTGATCCTACTCGGTCCGAAGCGCCTGCGTGACTCCCTCACTAACCAGATAATTACTCTGATAATGTCAGTATTATACCCAGTAACACTGTGAGGAATCTTGGAGTCATTTTTGACCAAGAACTCTCCTTCAAGGCTTATATAAGCCAAGCAACTAAAACGGCGTACTTCCACTTACGGAACATCGCTAAAATTAGGAATATCCGTCCTAAAAGTGACGCGGAAAAACTCATTCACGCGTTTGTCACCTCAAGGCTCGACTACTGTAACGCTTTACTGGCAGCGTGCCCTAAAGCCTCTTTGAAGAGCTTCCAGCTCGTTCAGAATACAGCAGCTAGGATCTTAACAGGTACCAAAAGGAGGGAGCACATAACTCCGGTGTTAAAATCACTCCACTGGCTCCTGTGGAGTACAGAACAAAGTTTAAAATCCTACTCTTAACATATAAAGCCATAAATGGCTTGGCTCCTTCTTATCTCCAAGACACGTTAGTGTCGTATCAACCAGGTCGAGCGTTGCGCTCACAAAACGCCAGACGTCTGGTGGTCCCTAAGGTCTCAAAGGTCACTGTTGGTGGCAGAGCATTTAGCTCCAAGCTCCTTTACTGTGGAATCAGCTTCATTTATGTTAAGGAAGCAGATACGGTCTCCACATTCAAGGCCAGGCTTAAAGCACTTTACTTTAATTTAGCATATAATTAGATCATATATAATATATATATATATATATACTGTAACTGGTGTTCTGGGTTATGAGTCTGAGTTAGATAGAGTCCAGTGTCGGCCTTGAGTGGCCGTGTGTGGTGGTGGAATGTGAAGGACAAAGATAGCGCAGGTGCAAACATTGGAGACAAAACAACACATGCCTTGTGGGAAATGTGTATAAGCACTTTAGCTGATCAATGAAAGGCAGTGTAAACTAAAGCCAATATGTCCAAATTATACTGGAACTGGACCCTCCGTTCATCGTTATCCGGAGTTCCACTCAAAGGTTTCAATCAAATGATACAGTTGCTTATAAGCTATCCTGTTACTCATTGAAACGTTCTATTAAATCTGCAAAGCGCAGTTACGGGGACAGGTTAAAGAGTTATTTTGAGGAAGATGACCCTCGGCGCATGTGGAGCGGTATTAAAGCCATCACATCGTGGAAACCTAGCGCTGGGAAAATTGCATCTGTCGGCCAAGCTCTGCCAAACGAGCTGAACACGTTCTACTGTCGCTTTGAATCCGCTGATGCCTGTCCTACTGTATTCCCTGAGTGTTTCAATCAAGGTACCTTCACCGTGACTCAGGAGGAAGTCAGGCGTGTCTTGTCCAGGACCACAGTCCGGAAAGCCCCAGGCCCGGACGGCATCCCTCCTCGTGTCCTGAAACTGTGCTCTGAGCAACTTGCTCCTGTGCTAACAGACATTTTCAACCTGTCGCTAAGGAACTGTACTGTGCCGAACTGCTTTAAAGAGTCCACCATCATTCCAGTTCCTAAGAAAACTCCTGTGACATGCCTGAATGACTATCGTCCTGTGGCCCTCACGTCTGTTCTTATGAAAACTTTTGAGCGGCTTGTGCTGGACTTCATTAAGAGCCAGAACCCTGTGAGTGTTGACCCGCTCCAGTTTGCTACAGACAGAACAGGAGTGTGGAGGATGCATCTCCTTTGCTCTGAACTCTGTCTACAGTCACTTGGACACTAGTAAATCTGTGGCCAGAATGCTTTTCATCCATTATAGCTCTGCTTTTAACTGCCTTGTCCCAGGTAAACTGATTGAAAAGCTCATGTCTCTCGGTTTAAGTGTTGCCATGTGTAAATGGATTTTTAGCTTTTTAACTGACAGATCTCAGAGAGTGTTTTTCTGATGTTGTTTCTGTGAGCACTGGTTCTCCTCAGGGATGTATTTTGAGTACTTTGCTTTTTACTTTGTACACTCACGATTGTGTGTCCTCCTCTGACTCAAACTTGATCATCAAATATGCTGATGACACCACCATCATCGGTCTCATCAGTGACACTGATGAATCCTCTTATAGAGCAGAGATACAAAATGTGGTTCAGTGGAGTCAAACTAACAACCTCCAGCTGAACGCATCCAAAAAATGTGAACTGGTCACGACTTCAGTCACAATAGTTCTCATTTGCCTGTCGTAATCGACAACTCCCAGGTGCAGATCGTAGAGGAGCAAGTTTCTGGGTTTAACTCTGTCTAACCTGAAATGGGTTAAAAACACTGACCGGGTCGTTAAGAAAGCTCGTCAGCGTCTCTACTTTCTGCGTAAACTTAGAGAATTTACCACTAACTCTAAGATTGTGCTTAACTTTTATGGCTGCACCATTGAGAGTTTACTTGTTGGTTCTGTGTCTGTGTGGTTTGGAAACATCACAGATAAAGAAAAGAGAGCTTTAAACAAGGTGCTCCGCTCTGCAAAGAGGACCGTGGGCTGTGAGCTTCCTGTTCTGGAGGTTCTTTATCAATCCAGACTTTTAAACAAAGCTCTTAGGATTGTTAATGACTCTTCTGGCCACCCTGGGAAAGCCATGTTCCAGCTTCTTCCCTCTGGCAGAAGATATCGCTCTCTGAGATGCAGGACATCTCGTTACGCTAACAGTTTTTATCCACAGGCTGTTATCAGTGTGAACAGAGCACTTTAATGATTTGCACTTGTTTTGAACTGTTTTAGTCGATCCATTTCACAGTGACATTTGTTTACTGTTTTATTTGTTTTATTTTTGTCTTTTAATGTTGTTTTATGTCTGTATTTGTCTGTGCACACTGGAGACTTTTGCTAATGTATTCCAATATGGTTTTACTGCAAATGGCAAATAAACTGAATCTGAATCTGAATCTGATAACCTCTCAAAATAAGTACTGTATAAGTACCAGTATTTAGTGGTACATAAATAAGTACCAGGAAGTATGTGTTGGTGAGACTGGAGTATTGTGTGTAATTAAGAGAATAATCAGATTGAGGCGGGCTCTGATCTGAAATGGAGCGAGGACATTTCCGTGGAGCAGAGTCGTGTTTCATGTGGACGAGAGTCATGCATTAGTAATGAGAGTCTGTAGATCGGGCCTGATACTCCCAGATCCGGTTCCATGTTTTTATACCTGTTAATAACGATGAAGCAATAAACAGATTTACAATGATGAAACTAAATATGAGTCTAGTTCTTTTGCTTTTTATCTACTGTATTTACTCTTTGCTTGGACCCAGTGTTTACCCCACATAGGAGCGCAACTTTGTCCACGAGCACTTCCCTATCGGACTTGATCAAACTAGCGGGTTAGCATAGTCCATCTGTAGACAGTCTGTTGTGTGTCCTTTGAGCACTTGTATGTGGCAGTCATTTAAGTAATGGTTTGAAGAGTTTTTATTAAAAGTACTTTCACTTTTGTGACTTGTTTGCACCAAAATCCAAAGTAAATTCAGAGTTTGTGACTCACTGTTTCTGAAAATAGAGATTTAGATCATTCTGATTCTGATGTGCAGCAGGTTTAGCTGAAATGATTCAGATTTGTTTGTGACTTCTGCTATTAAACAAACAGTCAAACAGCTAAATTACATCTACAATCTTTCTCCATAGTTTTAATGTCATGAAAAACTGATTATAATGAAATGTCACACTGTCCGTTTAAGGCTTCAAAATTCTTCTTTAATAAATTTAATAATGTTCTCACAGACACAGATGTTTTAATTCTCTTTTCTACATCGGTCTGTTCCCAGCGCAGGTCTCTCTCTTTCTACTGAAGTCCTAAAAGTGCCTTAAACAACCTTAAACTTTCCAACACAACAGTGAAGAGAGATAAGTGTTGTATAAGTTATAGATATAAGAAAACTTGTTATCGCACCGGGAGCTCCCTCGAGCCGACGCAACATCTGCCACAAACTCATGCTTTTAAAAACCACCATCCCAGATTTATGGAACAATGAGGAAAGTTAACTTGAATAAGAAATGATACGTTTTCTTAAACCCATGCTCAAACTGGTTAATATAAGTTTAAATAACTGCTGCAGGTAAACAGTGTGTTGCTATGGTAACTAGTGACACACACACACACACACACACACACACACACACACACACACGTTACTATGGCAACAGTCCCTCTGTATCCTAGCAACCAGATCATTGGGTTCCGGAACAGTGTTACGTCAAAGCAACGATGACGTCACAAAGCCTAAAAATCTGGTCTTAGGGGAACGTCAAATTCAGACTAACAGTGTTTGGAGTCCGGAGAAACGGGTCAGAAAGCAACAGAGAAAAACCGAGATAGAAGCGAGAAAAAGACGTCCTTCAAGTTGGACGAGTTTTGAACCTACGTCACGCTGCAGTGAGAATGGAGATGATCTCACTGACCACAGAAGGTCAGGAGCTGGGAGACGTTCCCACTGACTCCACCCTGACCTCAAAGATGGAGCAGCAGGAGAAGAAACTGATGAAGATCCAGAAGTTACACCAAAGTCTGCAGCAGGAGATCCAGGAGCACATGGAGGGGATGGAGGTCGTTCGCACGGCTTTGAACCAACACATCTCTGCTCGAGAAAGTCTAGGGCGAGAGTTTGAAGCCAGAGAAAGGGAACGCAAGAGGATCGAGATGTTAGAACTCCAACTGCAGGAGTTTGAAGACCTGAAGAAGCAGCATTCTTGGACTGTTGAGAGAAACCTCAGTCTGGAGAAGGAGAAGAAGGAGCACTTTGAGCAGATGGAGTTTATTCAAAAGTGTTTGGACGAACAGGTCGCAGCTTCCCAGACTCTAGAACAAAAGCTAACTGAGAAGGAACGTGAATGCAAGGAGGTTGAGGTCCTCAAACGCCAACTGCAGCAGTTTGAAGAGGTCAAAGAGCAGTATTCTTGGTCTCTGAAGAGAAATGAAAGTCTGGAGGAAGAGTTGGAATAAGCGAAGCAAAGTTTGGCCAGAAACGAGACTGAACGTAAAGAGACGTGTGAGAAACTGACTGAGCTGCAGCAGCGACAGAAGAAAGTGCTCACAAAGAGCTTTGAGGAGCTAAGGTCTGTAAAGCAGAGTTTGGAAGAACAAGTCTCTGCTCGCAAAACCTTAGAACAAGAACTTAGAGAAAAGGAAAGTGAATGCAAGAAGATTGAGGTCCTCGAACGCCAACTGCAGGAGTTTGAAGACATGAAGGAGGAGTATTCTTGGTTCGCCGACCGAAGCCTAAGTCTGGAGACAGAGTTCGAACAGACTAAACAGAACTTGGTAAACACTGAGCTCGACCTGAAGGAAGAACGTAGAAAACGGGAGATAGAAAGTGAGAAGTGGGAGATGGAGACCAGAGAGTTGGAGAGAGAGCTTCAGCTTTGCCAGAGTCGTCTTAAACAGATGGGAACAGACAGAGCGATCCAAAACAAGCCATCCACCTGCGAAACACAGACACAGACTGTCACGATGCAGCAGCTGGACTGGATAGAAACAGAAAAGATGGAAGAAGAACGTCACAGTTTGGAGAAGTCTCTGCACGACAAAGAGGTGGAGTTTGAGAGTGAGCGGAGAAAGCTCAAAGAGGAACTGGAACAAGCCCACGACAAACTGAAACAGCAGGAACTTTCACACAAGACGTTCTTACAGGAGCACCTGGAGGAACTCAGGGTTTTCAAGGAGTTCATAAAAGATCAAGTGGCCGTTCGTAAGAGTTTGGAGAAACAAATATCAGAGATTTTAAACCAGAGCAAGCAGTCGACGAGTGAAATGCAGACGCAAACTGTGGAGCAGACTAAGCTTAAAATAAGTGAGGATTTAGACATGAGAGAAACCAGTGACGACCAACCTTTAGACAAAACTCTAGAACAAAAGCTAACTGAGAAGGAAAGTGATCTTAAGAAGATTGAGGTCCTCGAACTCCAACTGCAGGAGTTTGAAGACATAAAGGAGGAGTATGTTTGGGCTGTCAACCAAAACCAAAGTCTGGAGATGAAGTTGGAACAGACGAAACAGAACTTGGTAAATACTGAGCAAGACCTGAAGGAAGAACGTAGAAAACGGGAGATAGAAAGTGAGAAGTGGGAGATGGAGACCAGAGAGTTGGAGAGAGAGCTTCAGCTTTGCCAGAGTCGTCTTAAACAAAGAAGTGAGGATTTAGACACCAGAGAAACCAGTGAAGACCAACCTTTAGACACCAGAGAAACCAGTGAAGACCAACCTGCTTCGAAGGAAGAAAGCAGAGGGCTCCAGGGAAATCTAAAAAATCTGACACGATTATTTGAGGAGATAGAGGAGCAGGACATGCAGAAGCAGGGATCCTGTCTGAAGAGGGACGGGGTGAAGGGGAAGAACGTTGCAGCTCTCATGAAAATGTTTGAGCAGTAAGAAAACACAACGTTCTCAGCAGCACAAGTCAGACGCTGTCGCTGCTAATCACAAGTCTTAAATGTAGTCTGAACAAAGAGGTTGGGAGGCGGGTGGGACGTGGCTGTTTGGTAAGGGTTTAAGGTGGAGCCAACAGAGGAAAACACCTGTAAAGGTTTTTTAGGCTGTTTGGTAAGGGTTTAAGGTGGAGCCAACAGAAGAATACACCTGTAAAGGTTTTTTAGGCTGTTTGGTAAGGGTTTAAGGTGGAGCCAACAGAGGAAAACACCTGTAAAGGTTTTTTAGGCTGTTTGGTAA